TTGCCGCCTAATTATCCGGAGATCTTGCTGACCCTCCCGAATATACAGTTGCAGTGGTCAATGCAAACAACTGACTTACTGTCTGCGTTGAAAGTGGAATGTCTGAAAGTAGGCCTAGACCTGTACTTTTGACCTGCCTCCGTTGCAGGTCAGTGTCGGAGCTTAGAACAGTCTGCGCGATGAGCCCCGCACTAAAGGAGTCCGTAACATAATTTTCGGCGAAGCCGAGCTTGTCTAAACATTTTAGCGAATTTGACACCGATGCCGTGTTCATCGATCTTAAGTTGTCCTCTGACAGTGTCCCATACGTAAAAAATCCGAACTCTAAGGCTTACACTGTCGTTGAAGCCCTAAACCAAAACCAAAGGCGTATGACGGAAATCGTAACGCAAATTCAAAATTCTAACCGTAATGTTTACCCCAACCTCTAGCCGGATAATAGCAATTTTAACGTCAATAGCGTTGGCGAAAGTCGAGATTCATGTATTGCATAGCCCCTTTCGCGACCTCTTGCCAATCACACGAAATGGAGGAAACTTCAGAAGGTAGATTCCCGAATCTCGCCTGGTGAGGCTACATGTCATACCCTGGAGGCAACTGGAGGCCTCAGGTGTCTGTAGCACCGACAAACGGACACATTCAGTTAGATTTAAAGTAGTTCAACAATCCTTCCTCTCCTTTGAGAGCACAATTTCATAAATAAATTTATGGACAGACTAGACGGCATCAAAGGAGCGCCGACAGTCCGCGATTAAATTCCTTTACGGAAACTCTGTTCGTTAAAAATTCGAGAGGACCATAACAACTTGGGGGTAGGAAATAATCAGCAAAAGAGCTCCGGAAAAGGTTTAGCATGGAGCTACTTGATTCGATAGGCAACTGCAGAAAAGGAGTGTGGCGTCCAAGCGAAGAGCTTTCGAGGAAACAGTGCATAAAAAGGTCCAGCCTATATGTTTGATCTGGACTTCGCACTCAATGCGCGCTCGAGCACTGGGTTGGCTCTCATTCGAAGTTAATGGAGACTAAGATCCTATGCCTCCCTTGCCCTCAACAGACGTGCTGAGTAGCTGCTGCCAAAAATGTATGCAAATCGGCCGGTCACCAAGACCGTGTCCCTCAGATCGCAGCAACAATATCTTTATGATATGGAAGTATCCAAACTAATTCTCTTCATCATACCCTCAACATTTACTAAACAATACTGTGAGGAATATGCCAGTATTTTTTTTACTGAACTATTACTAATAAAACAATCATCAATAGTATAAATAAAAATACTAATTTAGTTATATATTCCCCACCGGATCTACCAATATCATTGCTAGTGCTGCAAAGGCACTATTGGCGCTACTGGTGATGTTTTGCGCCTTATTAGCAATGCTGACACAGTAAACAATCTACTCATACTATTACTACTGATATTACATCGACGGCTAATACAAACCCCACAACTACTAAGGTTACTGGTACTTTTAATATGGCTGCTGACATTTTCTTTGCTTAAGCAACACCATTATTACTACTTTTCTTATTATCCCTATCGCTGTTTCTAAAACAAAAACAACAACAACAACAACAACAGCAACAACAACAACTACTACTACACCTTAAATACGCTTTATACGGCGATTAAACCAGGAATACTATTAATGCCACTTCTGATGTTAGACTCACTATCCATCCACCTTCACGACAGTACTTGAAGAGGAACCAGGCCGGGATGCAGATGATTGGAAACACGCCTATTAGCACGCCGAGGTCTTGAGCCCATTCCGGGTAAACGTATGCGTCCAGGGTTATCGGAGTGTCTGTGATGATTTTGAAGATTATCAGTCCGCCGACAGTGAGTGGAGTGATTACCAGCCAGGTGATGCGCCAGTACCAGTTAGGTCGAACAGTCGTCATTAATTCAATGTCGCGTCTGAAT